GCAGATGTGTTATTTTCCATTTAGTCACAGGAAGTTTTGTGTTGTCAGGATTTGCGGCACGACATGATTGCGGCAACATGGAGAGGTGAAGGCGGGATGAGGTCCACACAAGAGTAGGGTCTCCTGTTTTGGAACTACTAGCGATGGCCTCCATCCAACCTTCCACCATCCCCGCTTCAGGTCCGACCTTTGCCCAACGCTACCTCGCAAGCGCTTGTGGGAGCCTCAATACAGCTGCAGGGAAAGGGCCAAGGATTTGGTCCTTTACAACTTCCGACCTTTGACTCGACATCATCCTAAGGTGAAGACTCTCGCTTGGCAAATTCCAACTTCCCACGGTGTGGGCTGGAGGCTGGCTATGGCTGGCTATGGCTGGCTAGCGGCTAGCTGGCTGTGACAAATTTGAGAGTGTTGCAAGGTTGCTGTAGGTGGTAGCGTTCGACTGATACCCTGATCCAATTCAACACCCAAAGCTGACTTTCGGATCAAGTGAGCGTGAAGTCCTTTCAACATTGTTTGGGACGTGTGGTGGAGAAAACAGGTTGAACAGATTTTGGCAGAAACATGGCCATGTGCTGGAAGCTGAGATGGGCCGATCATGAAAGGAAGGAATTCCTTCTGCCAAAAGCAAGAAAGAACCGTCCCCTAGCACGGCACGTGATTCATATGGCTTGATGGCCCTGCTTTGGCATTCGGATCTTGTACGGACTATCAGTTTGTCTCCGTTCTTCTAGGTCCAGGGCGACATGTGCGGCTGCTTCGCCAAGCTCAAAGGCGCCCATTTGGCAGGACGAACCGTTTTGGCAATTTCTATGTTAAAAGCAGATCAGCAAACATGCAGACGTTTTGGCAGCTTGAGCAGCCTGCCAGGCAAGCGAGAGCTTCAATGCTCCATAGGATGCGCTGGCTCGAATCTTCGAAGGACACTGCCATGGCCTTGTACTCTCTGTCGGCCTGTAGAGCGATCTGCAGGCAAAAACCACATGAAGATTGGCAACGGAGCTCTCCACAGTGTCAGCAATCCGTCAACCTTAAGGTTTCTATTGCCGTTTTGATTTGTTGACAGCTACTCGTAGCTTCTCCCAAATGCAGTAGCAGCAATCTGTATGGAGGGTTCTTATTTCAGGGCTGCAAGTGGTAGATCCTCTCAAAGCAAGGCCATCACAACGGTTGCCACACCTTTTTCCTAAGAGAAAGGGAAGAAAGGGAAGAAAGGAATTCTGGCTGTGAAACACTAGTCTGTCGGTTGGGGTAAAGATTTTGTTGCAGTAGCATCTGACCAAGGCCAAAGCTGCTGGAGGAACGTTGCTCAGTGACATGGCCATGACGCGGATTTAAATGGTCTGTTTGTCGCACAGTGTGATAGACACAGGCTTGAGGCCATTGGACTGGGGTGGGATTGCAATCGAGATTTCGACCAGTTGGCTGGGTGCAGGTCCAACTGTAGCCCGGGCATGGTGACATCTATTTTGGGGACTTTTTGTCATTGCTGACCTGATGGTCTTGGCACATCTGAATATTAATCGATCGAGAATCCAAACCTAGCCAAGGATGAGCTCCATCTTGGCAAGTCTTGTCAGACAGATGGTGACTGTGACTCGTGTGATTCCCAGCACGCTGAAAGGTTTGGACCAAGAGAAGCCCACTTACCAGAGCACTCTGTGAAACTCCACAGATTCGGTGAGAGATCACGGATCCCAATATAAACTTGTCCGTGTTCTTACGATGAAGGCGGCCGATAAGAAGCTTGTCTTGTTGCTGCAGCTGCAGGCTTTTCCCACCAATTGGTCAAGAAGCGAAGCTAGTGTGCGATTCAGCCAGGGACTGAGACGTGGAGAAAATACAAGCGCTGCTTTGTGCATCAAGGTTTGGACATGAACAGCGCAAAGAGTGGAGCCTGTGAGTTTCTGTTTTCTCCCGCTTTGCCCCCTGAGGACACGTTTAAATGCACATTTGGAACGACCTTCGTTCCCTGGCATGAACTTTGGGAAGGGAAAGACAGGAGGATATGGCAATGAAGTCTAAGGATATGGAGGGGTCAAGTAGGCTGCAAAAACCAAACAGGGCTTGGATACTTTATATTCTCAGAGATCATATTCCAGAGAAGCCTCGCCTGTTTGTAGACTGTTGACAGCTGAGGTGCTTCCCCAGCACCTTCTTGAGGGTTCCTTGTGCATTGCCAGGGGCAGGAAGATAGAAACGGTTTTTGTTCAGTGCATTACTACTAGTAACAAAAAGGCTACTAGTAACAAAGGTCATCGCTACTAGGAGCAAGGACGCTATTAGCATTTGCCCTGTGAGATTTACACATCAGGCGAACGCATCACACGAAGACATCACACGCCAGGAGCTCCCCACCCCTGGAGCGGTGGCAAGCACAATATCTTTTGGCTGCACTGTGAGCTGTCAGCATTTACAGACTCACCCAAGCAGCCTTAGATGAAACTTTTGGATTGTACAGTATCTCTTTGGTTGTATTTTGGAAGCTACTTCAGCAAGGTCCACAGTTCAAGACACACCCACTACCTCTGTGTAGTTTGGGATCGGAGTTGAATGGGGTACAAATGGGCGGCAAAGACTGAGAAGATCCGAAAGCCCGAAAGCTCTAGTGCCGTGCGCTTTGTTTGACAGACCCATCAGCCTCAGGACCAAAAACAACGCTTCGATCTTTTTGACGGTTGAAACGCCTGGAAGCCCGGATGGTGGTGGAAGGAAGAAAGATGATAAAGACGTAGTGATTTAGTGATTTGGCAGAATACAGAAATAATTCCGCCTCAGCATGACTAAGGACGGACGGGTGTGACCTCGTCGATGCAAATGCTGGATGCCTGGAAGGGTTTTTGTCTAGAACTCTTTGTGCGGGTCATTGATCATGCTCCTTAAAGCCAAGGTCTCGACCGACTTTGTCACTGCCCATGACGGCTCTACTGCCTTTGACAGACAGGCCTTGCATTTCATTCCTCCACATGCCAGTTTCTCACAAGTTCAAAGGGAGCTGTGCAAGCGCTGGCAATTGCTTTTGTGAGAATACTAAAATTGTTGCTATAGAAGTGCTCGCTCTGAGGCTGCAGACTTCAAAACAACAGCGGGGCTGCCAGGAAATACAAGTTCCTGGACGCAGCATTTTGTTCATCCGTGCAGCCGTTTGGAACACGCGAAGGGAGTCAATTGAATTTCCTGGCCCTATGCTGCGGACAACAATTTCCCTTCAGTGCCTTGCGGCCTTGCGATAGTTGAACCTTTGAACCGAGGTGACAGAAACCACCACTGCCATGGCTAGTTTGAACGAAACTACCACGGAAACTTCCACGCAGCTCGGCAAAGAAGTCTTGATTGTTTGATGGGGGCTTTTGCATACCACACGCTCCACAACTTGGGCAATTTGCTTGACAGGGGTGCAAGCACAAGCGAGCAAGCAACGACGAGTACCGCGGAAACAACCATGGACGAGTTGCTCTTTGAGGGCAAGCTGGAGGCTCTTTTGACTTTTCACCTTTCAGATCAGATTTTCGTGGATTGTGGGGGTGGAAAGGGCTTGACAGTTGAGGCCAGTTCTTCTCACCAAGATTCATATCTCCGTGCTTTCGTTGCAGGTCAGTTTGGACTTGCCGAATGTGGTTGCACATGACCCAGGAAACACACCTCTATTTTCGCAACACATGTGCAGTGCGCTCGAAAGCTGTTGCCAAGAGTCGTTGAGGAGTCGTACCAGAATTGGATGTTTGGGGTTGTTTGGGGCAACTATGGGTCAAGCTGTGCTTTTTTCATCGTGCTTTACTGTGCCGCAACCTGTCTTTGTAAGGTTTTCGGCGCTGGAGGTGTGCAGCAGCTGAGGTTCAAGGCGAGAACGATTGCATTTCTTGGCGAGCATTGGGCGGATACATGTGGATTCTGCGACGACCAAAACAATCTTAAATGATCTTACATGCAGGTGAATGCCAGCGCGGACAGCACGGGGCTGGAGGATAGCATCACAGAGCCAGTACAACTGCTTCACTTGGTTGCCAGATTCATCCACTTCGTTGGACGCTTTCATGGGCAGTGAACCCTTGACGTCAGTTGCATTATCATGTCACAATCGAAGCAAGCGGAAGTGTACTGCTCCCAGGGTCTCCTTGCAGTAGGGAGGCCAAGGCTTTTTCGTTTAGATGTGAGAGAGTGCGATGCTATGAGCTCGAGATAATTTCTATTGTCATTGTACGCTGCTGCTGGTAGAAGCTGTTTCTTTTTTTTATTCTGTTTTACTACAAGGAGCAAGTGCTGAGGTGGCCGAAAAAATTCAAGGCAGCCTGGGATCCTATGTGTCACAGGAGATGGATTCCGACGGATGAGCTTTCAAGGGTATTTACAGTAGGTCTCAACCAGCTAATGACCTATTTAGCCGAACCCATTTAGATGACGGGCAATGGTTGCCGCTTCCTGTAGCCGCTTCAGCCATCCTGCCAACCAGCTGAGCTTCTCCTGAGAAATGTGTCGCACTAACCTCTGACGCTTTGTGACATCCTTTGACCACACCGCAGGACCCTTCTCCGGATCTTGCGCATACTGACATGAAAGAGGAGGCCATTCACTTTGCATGGAATCTGTAAAGCCAATCTATCTCTCGACCGACGTTTTCAGGTGCCAGCCACACTTTCCAAGGTCATTAAGGCTCCATTGTGAATCAGACTTGCTTGTTTAAGTCTTGATTGGTTGATACTTAAGAGTCTTATTGAGAGGGAATGACAGGAGCCAATTCTTTCTTTTCATTTTCATGTTCCCTCTCCTTGCTTTTCGTTGAAGATGTTGGCAAAGTCTGCAGAGTCAGAGTTTCTTCGGGCTTTTAAGGTCGAAAGCCGAAAGCCTGCATTTGTCACCAAGACTGTACTTCAGACTGCATGTTGTATGCAGCAACAGTGTAGAGAAAAGGAAGCATGCTGTTTAGGAACCGTTTTAGAGTTTTAGATGAAGAACACTTTATTGCAGCGTAGCTTTGCCGCGACCAATGGAACTTCGTCTCAATGTCTGCGCAACGAAGCCTTCAGAGACCAGCAGCCTGCGGAGGTTGCCGCTTTGAAGTTGGACGAACTTCAGCCAAGTTTCAACCTGCCCCACCGAAGACGGGGAAACCCCACGCCCCGGCCCCACGACATCGCTTGCGCAGTGGCAATTTGAAAGGCATAGTTGCTAGAGAGAGCTTGCATGAATTGATCCACGGCAGTGACCCAAAGCTTGGACGATGGAGCCATCACAAAGGACTTTTCACAGAACTGCTGGAGGCGACACAAGGAAGCTCCATTGCTGAACTTATCTCAATCTTGAGCCAAGCTGACACATATGGTGCACAAAACTGGCCAGAATGTGGACGGGCACGTGACAGGTTAAAAGTTCTGGAAGGCATTCGTTTGGAAATGGAGGCTGCAATGGAGTGGGTTGGAATTGAGGACATTGAACATTTGATGTGCCGAGCATCTGCTGCTGGAATCATTCCTGAGCAGAGTGACCGTCAAGGAGGTGATCTGCTAGGTCCACTCACTGCGACCCAACCCGAGTTCCAAAAGTTGGCCTTGACTCTCGCAAAGCGTTGCTGCAGACTTCGAAGCTTGAGAGAAGACCTCAGAAGCTGTGCCAAATCCGCTGATATTGAAAGGGTCTTAGCAACGGTGAATGTTGCCAAGGAACTCGGAGCTCAGTGGCAAGAGCTTGAGCTTGCAGAGGTGCGTTTGCAGGTGCTGCAGAATTGCCTTGCCGAGATGACTGATGTACTCGGCCAAGCACGGTCCAGTGACGAAGGCGGGTTGCAGAGCAGAATTCACGATGTTTTGGAAAATGTCCAGGAGCACATTGGAGAAGATCCTTCCCCGCCATTGGGCTGGGTCTTGAAAGCACTTCGCCTCCAGTATGGTCAGATGAGGCTGGAAGACGTGACCGGCCGACGAGCACGCTTGACCCGAGAAATCCTGGCTGCAGAGAGGGGCGCCAACCTGCAACACCTGCGTGCGGCTGTGGCAGAGGCTGACTTTCAATTTTGCTTGGATGCTTCCGGAGTGCCAGGTTGTGTTGTGCCCTGGCCGGAATTGGAGCTTGGCAAGCGACGCTTGGTGCAATTCGTGGACATGCAGGCGGAATTGGAATTGCTGGTGATGTCGCGTCCAATAGCTCCTTCTCCGACTGCCATCATTGCTGCACTGGCTCGTGCTGATGTTTTGGGGTGCTATTCTTGGACCTTGTGCCAAGAAGCATCTGCCCGGCTCCAACAAGTGCAGGGATTGGAGGCAAGTGTTCTTAGAGCTGTCCAGGATGGCTCAGAGAATGTCTTGCAGCAGGCCTGCACAACAGTGCAGGCTGCCGGCTTTGCATCGTGGCCAATGGTGAGAGGGGCTATGCTGCTTCTTGGACGAGAAGATTTGTGCACCCGACAAAATTTCACTTCCAGCACGTTTATGCAGAGATTGTTGGCAGAGTTAGCAGAAGCGGAACATGTCGGAGATTCGGCAGCTGAAGTTCCTGATGTCGAGGAGGCTTTCATTGGCATTAGCCTTGAAACGGAGTGTGTTGACATGGCAGGTCAAATGAGCCAATCGAACAGTTTCCCACCTCTAACCATGCTAGTGGACATGTTCCAGAAGATTACTGGCAAACATCCTGATCACGCATGGGTGGCGCGTGTGCGATCTGGGCTGTTTGTTTTCGAAGTCAGGTTAACAGGAGCGCTTGGAAGCTTTAGCGAGGCGGTCTCGCACTTGGAGACAAGCCAAGCGCTTGACTTTGGAGACAAGGTGACTGCTGCAAGGCATTTGTACTCTTTTGTGAAGCGGCTGAAAGATCAGGATCAGCTTGCTTTGCTGAAGCAGATTCAGCGGGCTTCAAGCCCAGGCGGTGAGTCCTCTGTTGTCTCGCAGCAGGCAAGCACTGTTGATGCAAGCATCGCTAAGGATGTGATTCAGCGGGAGCTCGATTTGCTCAGAGAGTTTGCAACACCCAGTGTTGCCTCTGCGCATTTTGTCAAGACTCTCTCAGATCCTGGGAGTTTGGCCGAGGAAGCTGCCATTGATACCACAGAGCTGCTCATGGAAGAGGTTCTCCAACCGGACTTGAAGACAAAGTCCGTGCAGTCCATCCCCCGCAAGTCGGAGGATGACCACATCAGTGTGGTGTCAGAGGCTACAGATGTGGAGTCCGCCCAGGTACTGAAAATGATCCAGGATCATGTCTCTCAATTCCAACAACCACATGATATGTCAGGCCATTCTCTGCTGGAATACGCTCAAGTTGAAGAGCCTGAAAGAGCTGACAGTTGGGCAACTGTCAGCCATCTAGTGGATGATTTCATTTCAGTTCAGTTGAGAAGAGTGGAGGAGTGTGTGGCCAAAGATGCATGTGAAAATGCATTTCAAACGCTTGAGACGGATGAAGGGATTGGCCATACGTCAGATGTTTCCGGACCGAGTGATATCGGCAGTGACTTTGCAAGAGATGTGGTGCAGCAAGTGAAAATGCAGCTGGAACCGCTGTAGGGTTTCAGGGCCCAGCATCATGAAGTGAAGGGCTCTGCTCTGCCGTGTTTTACAGTGCTTCCTTCTGCACCAACCAAGGTGCATCCTCGTCGCATGGGTTTGCGTTGTGCTACGCGTATATGTCACGTTTCTTGTGTGTTTGACGTTACAAAGAATCTTCGTTGCTGACAAGATCTCGTCCAAACCCAGAAATTTTAACTTGATTTGTCCTCCTGCGCTCCTGAAGGACTAGCCAAAGAGGAGGCATTGTAGAAAACGTAGCTTGGACTTGGCCGAGAGTGTGAACAAAGAAGAACACTGAAAGACGCCCTGTGAATTGAAGTTGCACCTGTCTCCAGAGGCATTGATTGGCCACTCCCTATAGACCCCGCTTCCCAATTCTCGCGTTGGCCCTCCCAGGATGGATCTCGGGTTCTCAATGTGTCCCACATCGTGCTGGGCACACCCTTGGTGAGCGTGACTTATCAGGCACCGGGGTGAGCTAACTGGCCTTGAAGAACAGTCACAAGTAGCCAGCCCGATGAAGTTTCTTGTGTTCAAAGTGTGCGTCCGGTGACTGGAAGAAACATGACCACTCAGAGTTTGGGCCAACCGCATCGTGCAATTTTTGCCTGGGAGGAACCTGAACTTTGCTCCAGTGCGGAGTTTGAGTGTGCACCGGGAGCCACTTGGAGAACAGCAGCCACATTGTATTTGCAGATTGTGAACCGAATGAATACAGTACAACTTGCCAGCTTGATTTGGCCTGAACACGAGGTTTTGCAATTCATGCAGGTTATGCATGCTGCATGCGATCGATTGGAAGCTTACATGCTACTAGGAACGATAACGGTAGTAGGGGCTCCTGGCCTTACTACTAGGAGCAAAGACGCTACTAGGAGCAAAGGGCATCGCTACTAGGAACAAGAACGCTACATGTAAAAGCAACGTGCCCCTTCTGACGCAGTGGCAAGGTGTGCGCCTTGTGCCCCTCGGATTCATGCCTGTGCGACGGGTGGCAGGTGGGATGCACTCTGGGCATTTGCGGAGAGTTGTGTTTGTTCAACATGAACGATTTGCCCTCCTACTAGTTGCGTTAAAAGAAGGTTCTCAGGAAGTTCACAGGATTTCGGTGCAGTTCCTTCCCATTTTCTCTCCCTTCCATTCCCTTCCACCCTAAGCCTGTACAGCGTGCATTCTTCATGCCAGGATTGCGAGAATGGTGGTGATGAGGACCAGATGCGCATGGGCTTGAAATGAAGACATTGTGCTGAACAGCAGACTTGCAGCTTTTGATTTCCGGAGATCCGCTGTTGAAAGAGCACAAAGGTCAGCTATTCCTTTTTCTAGCTTGTCATTCTTGTTAACAGCAGCAGTATTATCTATGATTTTTTTGGGTGATCACTACAGCTGTTGGAAGACAATAGACGATTGATTCTACCCCCAGCCTCAGCAGATGCTCCTCCATCGACACCTTGCAGGATATTTGGGGTCTCCTTGTCCAACGCAACGTCCGGTTCCAAGTTGGCAAGGAAAAGCCCAGCCTCTTTGAGCGGCCATTAAAACTCCGTTTCTAGAGGACCTTCACCAATCTAATTCCATGGGAATTCCATAGGACATGTCCAATAACCGCTGTCCACCCCAGAGTGAAATAGGACCTTAAATTATTTGGAATCCAGAGTTTGCAGTGCTTTTGGCATTTTGGATATTTGATATTGCTGTCTTCTCACACGTCAAACCAGCCAAGAAATGCTTTTGAACTCCTCGATTTGGAGGTGACCACAGCAGAATGTGAACTTCTACGTCCGTCCCTCAATCTTTGGACTAGGAGCAAGAACGCTACTAGGAGCAAAGGGCATCGCTACTAGGAGCAAGGACGCTACTAGGGGCTCCTGGCCTTACTACTAGGAGCAAGGGCGCTACTAAAGAAACACTATGTTGACTCAACCTCTTCGACCAAGTCCTTTTTAGAATGTCAAGACTCCCAGGGAATCGGTCGCTCACGAATACCAGCGCAGTGGGCCCAGTTGTCCAGTCAACCTTTTCTTTGTTTCTAGCGATGGCCTCCACCCTAGTAGCGATGCCGATGGCCTCCAACCTAATAGTTTCAAAGAACTTGTAAAATTGTTCTATTTGCATACTTGAACATGGGTGACAATTTCTGAGGATTGAAGTATTCGCAGATAATTGTTGGCTGCAAGTTTGTGCAACACACCGCAAAGTAGAAGGGAAACAATAGTAGCCACGCAAGTATCGGCGCACTAAACCAGCAGCAGCAACAGCCAATCTGCAGACTCACATGTCACCACGAGGTCAACGAGAATGGCACAGTCGAGGGAGATGATCCTTGCTTTGGAGTGAGTGGCTTTCCGTGCAACGGCTCCTCGGCACTTGTTGTCATTCCAAAGATGTCCATGTCAGGCAGGTGACAAAGTCAGCATTGCCATCCCAGTTCAGGTCCGATCCAAACAGTGTTTGCATCACTCAATTTCTCGAAGTATCTGAGGAACAGTGTTGGCAACCTAGAAGCATTGGTGGCAGAAAGCCCTTGGTGTCAAAACTAAACTTTTGCCTCAGCTGCGTACATACACTTTTGTGGGATGATTTCACATTCTGTCTCTTGTGTTTCAGGTGTATTCCAATCCCTCAGCATTGTGATGGGATTGAGGACTTAGTGCTTGCCAGAAGCAATTTTCTGTGACGGCTTTGGTGCATGTCCATGTCCTGACATTTTCTTTGGGCTCTCATGCACGGGTGTCTTTTTGTTTGAGGGTGTTGTGGTGGCATATGTTCTACACTTGATGCACGCAGGATTGTCCTGACGGAGCAGACGAAGAAGGCCCACCCCAAAGGTCCAGGTCTGTTAGACCCCAGAACCCTCCCATTTCCTGTAAGCGATGGGGGTTCGAACCCGGAACGCTGAATTTCTTTTTTGGAAACTTGTTGCCTGGAACCCGATCGGTCGAAACCTTGGGAATGTGAGGCCTTCCAGGCGTTCAGCATCAACTTTTAAAGCCAAAAACCTGGCTTAACGTTCATCTCTTTTTCGGACCCAGTGTCGATCGCAAGTCTGCTCGGAACCCCTGGAGCAAGGCCCCGATCGCAAACTTTCTTTGCATTCTGGAGCCGTCAGCTGATCCCATCACATTACACGTCCGGACCTACTTCTTTTTGCACCTCGTGAGCTGTCTGACCCAACATGGGATTTCGAGTCTGTGCTGGTGTAATTTAAACTATCACGTTGGCTGTATTCAGTATGGTTGAACACATCGGTTTCAGCTTCTGAATCATTGCCGCTTTTTGCTGGAGACCTCCAAGCTCCTTGTACCGGAGCTATTGAGCAACCCTTGCTTCCTACTTGATGAAGTGCTTCCTTCCCATTCGCCAGCAGCACATTATTTAGGCATCCTAGATGCATACATACATATATATATATATATAATGACGGCAGACTAGATAGAAATGCAAAAAAGTCAAAAACCAGGGTCTATAGCCGACCGAGCTTTTGACATTTCTATCTTTGGTATTTGCCTGTAAAACACAGGGAAAGTGACTTATTTAACAAAAGGACCGCCCGACCGAGCACCCAAAACATTTCTATCTTTGAGATTTCCATGCATATATCATAGATTTTGATGCGTGTTGATAAAAAGTGCTGTAAATAGCGCGAAATATGAGCTTTTGACATTTCTATCTTTAGTATCTGCCTGTAAAACACAGTGAAAGTGACTTATTTAACAAAAAGACCGCCCGACCGAGCACCCAAAACATTTCTATCTTTGAGATTTCCATGCATATATCATGGATTTTGATGCGTGTTGATAAAAAGTGCTGTAAATAGCGCGAAATATGAAAGACACCCTTCCAAAGTGCTGCAAATAGCAAGGAATACGAAGGTTTCCGTTCCAAAGTGCTGCAAATACCACAGAACATGAAGGTCATGCCTTCCAATTTCTTGCCAATAGCAAGGAATATGAAGGTTGTTTGTTTCAACATGTTGCAAGCAGCAAGGAATCAGAAAGACATGTGTTCCAAAGTGCTGCAAAAAGCAAAGAATGTGGAGGTTGTTGTTGTTGTTGTTGTTGAAAAATTACTTGTAGAAGTGTTTCTCTGGGGACCTGTGCTTCCGATGCAAAAAGTATTCAAAATGATCATGTTTTAGTCACGGATTTATACAAAATCTGAAGTTGTGTGTGTGTGTGTCCATTTTGTCTCCCCCGTTAAGGAAATATATCTTTGAAAAGGTTACATTTCTATCTTTGAGATTTCCATGCATATATCATGGATTTTGATGCGTGTTGATAAAAAGTGCTGTAAATAGCGCGAAATATGAAAGACACCCTTCCAAAGTGCTGCAAATAGCAAGGAATACGAAGGTTTCCGTTCCAAAGTGCTGTAAATACCAGTGAAAATCAACACCACGTGCCCAAAG